TCTCTCCCCCTCTCGCCAGTCTTTCCTGCTTTGGTGTCCCCCCGGGGTAATTGTGGGGTAATTTATGAAGTTCTAGCAGCATGGAGCAGGCCAGTGTATGGGATAGCCTGCTGACCGAGCCCCATTCAGCTTCAGAGGAGAAGGCCTGGACTCCTTTTATCCTACCCATAATCAGCACCTCTCCCTGGGCCTGTATCCCCCTCCTGACTCCACTCGCCCTGCAGCCGTCCACAGCATGCGACCCTCCGCGGCCGCATAGAGATGAAGGGGAAAGTTATTGGACTCTTTAGTGACTCATAAACATCCTAGAGGATTTTCATAGCGCCTTTGTGTCTTTTTGTTGCGGCCGAGATAATGCAATTGTTTCAGGCGGTGTAAATGAATAAATCACCGAGCAGTTTGTCCCAGCGGTGAGAGATAACAAAGGGCAGCACTCCCTGTTCTCAGAAACACTTGTCGGCCCGTACAGACACTTTGTGGAACAATTTATATCTCCCTGTCCAGATACCGGTACTCAGAGGGAAACATATAGATCCATAGATGCAGCAAACCAATTCCACATATCTGATCACTTCCCCTGCTAATATGATTTCCATCTCAGAGCCTCGATATCAAGCGAAAAGAGAAAAATGGTGGTAAACAAAGGCTGCTGTGCGTCCTCTATGGGTTCTGCTCCCCACCACATGCCCAGATTAAAGCTCAGTGTGGGTGTATGATCTCGCCACTGATCCTGTTAAACAATGACCAGCTGAGAAAGAAGGAAGCCTAACGGTACACGGCGCAGGTTTGCTCTTCAGCTCAGCGCTTTATTGAGCCATGATAGGCCCTAAGCTGGCCTGATCCTCTGTAGCTACAAGCATATGCCTGTGATAATGCCCTCATTTTCTGGTCACCTGAGCACTTTCATTGGAGTGTACCCAGTGGGGCAGCAGAAAGGGGGTCTCTAAAGCCAAAAAAAACAAAACCTCTTGAATTGGATGAAGGGTCCTGAAAGGTGGCGTCCAGAGAAGAAAGTCAAACACTCTGATGCAGGGTTAAAAATTGAAGGATTATGTTGAAACATGGAGGGTGGCTACGCTTTCAATTGTAAGATGCAAAGCTTGGAGATCCTTGCGTCTCTCTGTGTGGCCCGTTGCCTCTGTAAACACATGAATAAGAATACGAAAGAGCAGGAGAATGGGATTTATCTGGTTCATGCATATAGTGATGGAGTAAGAGAAGGAGTGATTACACCCCTTTTATTCATTTAGAGCCCCTAGCAAAGGTCCCTATATGTGTTCCTAGTGATTTTACTTTTATTAATACACTGCTCTGAGCTGTTTCCCATTACTTTCATTAGTTTATTTGACTGCCACTCTCACTAATCTAACTTCATGCACAGTTAATGAGCCGTCTTGACACATTGCCCCTGCATTTATATATAATTTACTTCTACCACTGTGGAAACATTATTGATCGCTTTTCTTCTCTTTGGATAACGGAGAACACAATGGCACAGAACCAGCAATTAAAAGCTCCGAAAGACCAGACAAGAATGAAAACTGGAGCATTGTGTCCAAGGCAGTTAATTAGGACCTGACCCAATTAGCAGAGGAGAGTCCAGCAGCCATGTTGGCCCGGAGCCTAACGATGGGGAAATCCATATGCTCCTTATAAATGGCCCATGTTGGCTATCGAGGTTCTCCAATTATAATATCACTGAATGTTAGCTGAGCCAAAACACCCTGCTGGGCCCCCTCATGGAGTGGTGGTGGGGGGTCCTGAGGGCCCTCTTGATTCCCAATCCTAACTTTCTGCGGGTCAAAAAGATTGTCATACTTTGAGAATGCACACATAGCAAGGTGAAGAGCAGTGTGAGCTTAAATGCAAGTCCATGACAATTCAAACACACAGGTAAAGAAATATGGAGCTGTTTCACACAATAAAAAAGGCTGCTATTTATTCCATGTGGCAAAGAATTTAAAGGAACAATATAATCTGTTGTTGTTCCATGACAGAATACAAACAACTTGAAGCAGAGTATTTCATATGTTATTTTATTTATTATGTATATATATATATAAAAAAAATCATTTGAAGAAATCTATTTGTATTTAATTAATAGATATATTTTAAATGATCATATTTTGTTCTGTGTGTGCATGCTATTTTCTGCATGGGTTTGGTTGGACAGACAACTGAAAACTGGGCACTTATTGTTTGCTTGTGTTTTTCTAAACAATACAAACAAAATCAATGAACGAGTGCTACAAGACAAAAACAAGACATTTCATAAGGCATTCTGGATGAGGAATTGGTCTTTGAGCAAATTTTGCCATCTACATTCCTATTCAGATGACATCATTTTGTTGAGAACAAATGGAAATGTTGCCTATGGATGGATGTGTTGTGATCGAACCAAGATTAACTTAGTTGGGTATACAAAAATATTAGGTGATGAATTGGAATAAGAATAATTTATTTTTAGTAAAAAGTATAGTAAATTACAGAATGTTCTCTCTACTGAAAAGTGTGTATGCTCCTTCATATTTTTCAATGCAAGTCAATAGTATCCCTGTTTTTTAGAACTATCACGAAGCTGCACTAAGCAGCCACGACTGGAGAAGAACATCATACTGTTGGGTAAATATAAACCAGCGGGTGCACCAAGGAAAGATCATGGAAACACAGCACATTCTTTATGACGTCTGTAGAAAGTTGTCTTGAATGTTGATCACCTTGCCATTATTATGCTCCAGGCCACAATCAATTCTGCATCCAAGGTTGAATGTTTTTCCAATCCTCTCTTGCTCCCACGAATAGTGTAGCACATGAGTATTATTGTATTCCCAAACTTCTGACCCTAGCGCTGCCTCACTGAGGCTTTGCTTGGCAGAAGGAGGCAGGAAATTCCAGAGCCGAGTGGAGAAATCCACCGCAGAGAGAGAGCTTTTGAAAAGTCAGCTCAATCCAGCCCCAGGATTAGATCAACTGAGTCATGCACGACATTAATCACGGCAGGAATTTAGATGTCATGAATGGAAACTTCTCTATTTGAGATAAGTTTGTCTGGTGTTCCTGACAGCCGCTGTTTAATATAAAGAGGAAGAAAACACAAAACCTGAGAAAGTGCTAGTAGCTTTACGGTTGAATTAGGGGAAGACAATAGCGCGCCCACTCTTTAGTATCTTTTTAACTACCTCCTCCCCATCCGAAGGACCCCCTTCCAGTGATAGTGATGTGATTTCACAGACTGTTTGGGGAGCCAAGTCAAATGTATCTGACCTCTTTTGTCTTGGGCTCCTGGTTGAATTGTACCTAGTCTGCCATTAACGTGGCTCTTTACATGTTGAAGCACCTCATATGGTGCTTCATACCTTTCTCCAAAGTGTCTCATGGATACCATATGTAAATAAGGCCTCGAAGGCATCATATATCTGGTATTATGGAATAGGGCAATAAACATGTGGGCTTTTTCCCCCCCTTAAGCAGATCTCTGGTTTACACTCTCACTTTTGGTAACTCCGAATATGGTGAGTTAAGCAACTTAGGGGGGAACAGGATAAATAATATGAAGCTTCTCTGCAGTATTACAATACAAAATAAAGAATCTGCCTACTTGCTAAATGTAGCTTTTGATCAAACTTTAAGTTCACACATGCACTGTAACCACTATCTCTAAAAGGAGACAAACCAAGTGAACAGGGTATCACCACGACATTTCAAGTGTTGATAACTATAAACTGTTGATAACATGACAATTATTTGTTGTAAAAAGTTTTCTGAAATGTTACGTAAACATCTGCAAATGAGGCTTCATCTTCCTGAATATGTGCTTATTAGTTTACTCTTTTTAGGGGCACTTATGTGAAATTGGATGAAGTTAGTTTTTTAAATGTCAGGTTCATTGTGTTGACATATTGTTTTACAGAGGACATTTCCGATATCTCTTCATATCACTCCTTGTCAAAACAACTCATTACAAATATTCTGGATTCCAGTTTTCCAAAAACAAAAATGTGGTACTTTTGAGAAATCGGCCTTTGATTAAATGTATTGTATGACATTTCCAGAGTTGAGCATTTCAGGACAATTATTTTTCGTATAAAAAGTTTTCTGAGATGCTTATTAGTATACATTTTTAGGGACACAGGAAATTGGATGAAGTTAGGTTTACATTTCAGGTTCATTGTGTTGAGAGTCAATGGTTTTTACAGAAGAAATATCCGATGTCTGTTCGTATCACTCCATGAATCAGAAAATACTGTCAAAACAAGTCATTAAAAAGATCCATGTTTTCCAAAAAAACTTAAATTTGGTACTTTCAAGAAATTGGCCTTTGACTAAATGTATTATAGAATTCCATGGATTTTGCAGGACACTACTGCTACGTGAGAAGGGTAAAGATTAAATAACTTACAGTGCAGTATCATCATTAAACTACCCTAATTGATTTCTTACAAAGACAATCTTTATTTGTTTAAAAAGTTGTTTTTAACGTTTTGGTTATGTGCAAGTGATGAATTATATAATACCTTATGAGACTTCTGCTGAAATTAGAGGACATCTACAGACGCAAATAGGCAGGGTTAGTCAAATGAACACTTAAAAGTGTACTTTTATATTTTCTTTCCACTCGCCTGAAAGAGAACATGTTAAGGAAGCAAAATAGCCCAAACTCTCAAAATGAACCGGTGAATTAAGAACAGTAAACTTGTACACACGTTTCAGCATAGTCTTAGTTAACTTCTCTCAGTGCAGCTTAACACAACATGTGAACATACCCCTGTTTAGGTTAATGTTTAGGGGGTTCATGAGGGCTGGGGGTGTTAAAACGTGGGTATGGGAAGGTGAAGTGGGGGCTGCAGGAAGGAGGTGTGAGAGGGGGGGGGTGAAAGTGTGTCCCTTCTGCAATTGGCTGTGGCTCTAAGTGTCTCATTATGCAGCTTTATTGTTCCTTTGTTATGCTGGCGGTATAAATACACCCCAGTGGGCCCACAGGGTGACAGTTTAGACAGACTCACTACTGGGGACAGACTGATCAACAGACTCAACGGCACAAACTCTGAGAGAAACACAGGAAACTGGAAGCGCTTAAAGCTAAGGAAGCATCTGTAGAATTTAAACTCACGCTCCAAGCATTCAGCGTACTGTTTTTGCACCACTTTTTCGATTTGTGCAACACTTTAAACGCATTAAATTGCAATGGGTTCTGACTGTGGCTCCAACTGCAGCCGCTCCTCCTCCCCCGACCTGGTGGTGGATGATCACGCTGGGAGCTTTTTCTCCAACAAGATGTTCCAGTCATACTGCCAAGAGAACAGAGAGGACAGCGAGGCCGGCCAGGACAGGACGGTGGACGGACAGACCGAGGCCGGGACCGATCTCAGCAAGATCGACACCCAAGACCTGAGACTGAAAGTGAACAGCCGGGAGCGCAAGAGGATGCACGATCTGAACACGGCCATGGACAGCCTGAGAGAGGTCATGCCCTACGCTCACGGGCCTTCAGTCCGCAAGCTGTCCAAGATCTCCACCTTGATGTTAGCTCGCAACTACATCCTCATGCTGTCCGGCTCCTTGGACGAGATGAAGAAGTTGGTGGGGGATGTTTACGGAGGAAGTGCTGCCGCCCAGAGCCGCACCGCTGCCCACCCTGCTATCACCCCTGCGGCCCCAACTGCCCACCACCCTCTGCATCATCTGGCCCACTCTCTGCACTCTCTGGCGGCCAGCGCCCCTTCAGCTCTGCAACATCACTCTTCTCACGCCACGGCCCTGCACTCGCCTCCATCAGCAGGCTTCCTGGGTTTCCATGCACCGGTGCAGAGCCTTATGAAGGACCCCCTCCACCTGGCCGGGTGCTACAGGCACTTCCCCGGCATGCCCTGCCCCTGCTCACTCTGCCAGCCTTTACCCACCTCCACGTTACACAGCCTGTCTCTGAGCAAGTGAGCTGGACTCTAAAAAAAACGACCTCTGTTGCTGGGATCATCACAATGACTAAAGCAGCACAGAGGAGATTGTTACATGAACTCCTAAAAAGATTGCTGGTGCCAGAGCTTGTAAATACTGTATATATCTTCTACCATGCCAACTGCTGCTTTTTTCTATCAAATTACACTTCTGCATTGTTTATACAGAAATATTCTATGTGCACGCAGGTTTTTTACCGGTGGCAAAAACTGTAATTTATCTGATATCTGTGGTGATGAGACATTGTCAGAGATGGAACCGGTGTGTATTATTGTATTGCAGGATTTCTATTTTCCTAAATTAAAGTTTTGTTATAATAAGAACTCTTGTTTGCCTACTTATTTTCTGTGATATACTGTGATCTATATTTATTTTTCCCTGACTGTAGTTGTTTTTATAGTCATACGTGTAAAAAATAAGCAATATCTGCCAGGGACTATTTCTTTCTTAAGTCTTAAAGGGTTCTAGACATATACTAAAAAAACACAGCAGCTGTATGCAAACAATAGAGCCACATCTTCTTAAACTAAACAGAAGGGGTTTGATTTGTGTTAAGAGGACAGAAGGGCAATGTAAAAATGGATGTCTAGGAAGGGCTGTCATTGGTTGCTAACCAGCCTTGGACAGCCTAACCTCTAAAGAGCTAAAGAGGGACAGAAGGATGAGACAATGTGCCAGCACAGAGGCTGAATGTGGTGTTCTGGAGCCAGGGGACCATCCATCTTCACCTCAACAGGGAGTAAGAGATGAAAGGACGACACAGGCGCCAGGAAGGCGCGTCACTTTTGTTTGACGCGGGCGAGGGACAGAGCCATGTCCTTAGCTCTGGCCAACGATTTGTCTCTGTCTCATAAGAACATGGATACAGGCACACAAAGGGCAAACTTTAAGCAGGGGACATAATGCGGTCAGCCTTAAAAAAAAAGTGTATATATATGAGTTTATTTCTTTAAGCTGTAGATAAAATATATCCACATACTTTCACAACACAAATGTTATTGTGTTTAAAATCAAGTATTTAGCTGATTCATAACAATGATTAATCCGCTAAGCACAAACATAACACACACTGATTGCCATGAACATGATTTAGTCAAACAACCTGACAATGGCTGGCCCTCACTTAGCAACAAATCAAGCGTGTAAAATACATGCTTATCCTCCCACGGCTGACAGATGAGCCGGGGATCAGGGGAGAAATGAAGAGATGTAACTCATTCTCACCCACCTCCCTCTTTACCCCACCTCCTCCTCCTGAGAGCCCTGAATGGGTCCGAACAATAGCCATGCGTGGGACACAAAAGGCCGGGGGAGTCCGAGCTCTCGTGCCTGAGACACAGACCCCCCTCATTCAATCTACATTTCATCATGGTAACAAGCGCTGTCGGGCCAAAAGGCCTGACACCCTCTCTCGCCACAAAGGCGGTTAGCTCTAATATATGAGGCCATTGACACTGAAAGAGCCCCTGTCAGTACTTGGGATTGTCAGCTGTGGGATGTCTCAGTGGGGGGAGGCAGCTGCCAGCCAAACCAAGCGGCGGAGCTTCTGTCGTGGGGACCGGCGCTGCAGCGTCACCTGGTCCCTGGTCCCTTGACACAGAGACCCCGGGTCCCTCCCACACGGCCCCCCCTTCACTCGGGCACAGGTGGGAATGGGAAGCAGAACACATTGTGGAGATTAGCGGGGATCGGCCTCCCTTTGCTGGAGGTAGATAATTAGAGACACTGACTTGTGCAAAGCTGGTGTTTCCTGATCAGCACCAGATGGTGTTAACCCACGGTGTGGTATCAGTGGTCTGGAGCATGTGTGTGTGAGTGTGGGAGTGGGTGTGATGTGTAATGGATATGCTTCTTAAATCATACAATATGGACAGGTCCTCTGTGTGCCATTATGGTCAGCCTCTGCTGTCATCATGGTTGCTCTTTAGCATACGCTAACCAGCAGTGGCAGCTCTGGTTTAAGTCATAATCATCATAACGTCAAGTAAAAGCAGCAGTACTGCAATAAAGATAACATGAATAGTCCTGCATTCAAACTCCTGCTTATGTGAAAATACAGATGTATGATCAGAAAAGTGTATTTAAAGTATTAAAAGTAAATCCTTTGCCAAATGGCCCTTTTTATTGTGCCATATATATCTCCCACAGATTCACTACTTTTTCTGGTTGGCCTGATAGGAGTTTGAATGTATTACGTTTTGGGAAATTGAATCTACATCTCTGTCCATAATTGAGTCCTTAAAATATTGTGTGTTGTCCAGTTTTAACTGGTTTAATTAAAAACATTCCACAAATATAATTTCTATACAATATATTCCATAAGTACTTAATAGGACAAGGGCCACATGAATAAAAGATGAGATCTGACCAAAAGTCTTTAAAAAGTGAGTTCTGAGATTAAGGTCAGAATTTACATGTGGCCCTAATCCTCTTCCGTACTTTCCCGCACATAGATCTTGTGGTAAAAAATGAAGAGGAATAAATAAAAAAGTACATTATCCACATCTAAAAAAGTGAAGTAGAAGTATAAAGTAGTTTAATATGGAATAGAACATACTTGAAACTACTACTTTGGTAGTGTACTGGTGTACTATATACACTACCAAAGCGTAAATACATTGTAGGTAAATAAAGCAAGTTACGGTTTACCACAGCACTTGTTTTTCATTTCATGTGGAAATTAAATCTTTCCACAGGGGAGTAAGTAACAGTTTATAACCAACAATAGGACACTATTTCCTTTACAAACCACTGCATCTACAGATAGACCCCTTTCTGCATTAATCTAATGCAACGGCAAAGCCCAGGGCCATGTAGACAGATGGATAGTTAACTGCTTCAGATACTGATCAATAGAGGAGTGCTTGTCCCAACTTGGCTCAGCTCAACTTGCATTTGACAGAGTTAATAGGAAACTGAAAGACCCAATTAAGTGGATTGAGGTGCAGGACAGAGCAGACATATTGAGGGACATACGCACACATTGTGCAAGCGTCTGGATAAGGGGGAACTTCAATTAAGGGAGAACCCACTTCCAGGGGCTTGTTGCCTGTTCTTTTTCATTTTGTGCTCTGTAAAGCTCTACAACCCCCTTCTTTACACCCAGAATTATGATGAGGGGAAAGCACAGCTGCTGGAGGTCAACACCCATAAGCAAAGCGACATGCACATAGGCTCACTGCACACCCACAGATGACACTCAGAGCAGGAGATTGATGAGGGATTCAGGTTGGAATTGCTAAACACTGATTAGCCAACCTAATGGCTCAGGAAGGAGAGCTGTAGTCTGGATTCATTTGTTTGATTTAATACGCAGCTCATTGGTTAAATTAGGTTTAATTAGAAGAAAACAACTTGCATATGGGCAAAGCGTTAGCCTGCCCCATGGAGCCAGTATTCATCGCAATGCATTTACTTTAATTTTCACACTGTTCTCTTTCATTTAGACTGCAAGGCATATGGACAAATATGTTTATGTTGGGTCTGCCATCAATAATACATAGGTACAAAAGTTCTGACCCTTAAAATCTGTATGAAGCACTAAAAAAGATTGGTTACCACTTGCTTCTAAAAATACATTGAAACAATTGAGAACAAATGACAGTGTTTCATTCTTTAAGTAAGCCCATGTACCCCACAGTGCTTTAGTATCCGTTGCACTAAAGCTTTACAACACACACAAAATAACTGCTACAAACTGGCAGTTCTATTAACTGACATGCTTTTCTACGTGCAGCTTTATTGCTCAAAATCAATATAGTATTATTGTATTATACTGCAACCTCAAACTTGTATTTTAATACGTCTTATTCTATTTGAGCTTGTTTAATGTTCTGTTCTCTTGGCTTTTTAATTACTATTTTGCATTTTACTTCAATGTCCCTCTGTTGTTTGGCTTTTGCACTTTGGTAGAATATGTTTATGTTTAAGGTAAAGCACTTTGAGTTACCTTGTTGTATGCTAACATTACATAAACGAACTTGCCTATTCTGTAGCGTAGCCGTCCAATTTGCTCCTCTGCAGCCACCATAGAATCTAGATAAATAAAGGCTTGTAAAACATTAGGTGGTTATAAACTGTTAAATACGCCATTTAAAATAGTGATTACACTTTGTTATAGTTGAATGTGGTTACCTGTATTACACAGGAAGGAAGACATACTGCATCACGTGTTTGTTTTTCAACGCCATGCAGCTGGGGTTAGGGTTCAGTAAATACTGATGATGTCATCATCTGAAGATGGCTGAAGGGTGAGAGTGAACTCGCGAATTACTTTTTGTTTTTAATATGATCTAGCAGAAAGCAAAGAACCGACATTGTGTCGAATATTGGGTTCCGTATAATGTTGTGTGTTTAACTAAGATGTGGTAAAGGTACTTGGTTTTAAACGCTGTACGGTGCATATCACGAAACAGTTCAGGAAGTGCATTTGTTTACCAAAACATAGCCTGGCTAGCGTTTAGCATAGCCTCGTTAGCTACGGTTTGTCAAGCAGCTACAATCACGCAGTAACACTGTATGGACTGTGTATTGTCTTCATTTGTACACCTTGCCTTTATCTTTAGTCTTAACAGCCGCACTTGCTGCTTATTCTAATAATTAGCTCACATGGGTCTGATAGCTGCTCTCGTTAGCTTACTCGTTTAGCTTCCTAGGCTGTGTATTTGTACGTTAGCTAAAGCTAGTTCCGAGAAAGTCAACAGCTGACAGTTAATGAGTTCGAAGTGTCGCAATATTAACAACCGTTGTTTTAGTCTGTTGAATGTACAATGGGCAGTGGTGGTGTTATGATAAGGCAATGTTTCTTTGCTGTCATGACTGGACAATAAGCTAATATTTTTAAAACGTATGTGTGTTTACAGAGAAGGCTGGTGGGGAGGCTGCTTCAGCAGAGCTTCCAGGCCGTAAAAGAAAGGTAATAATCCACATTACGGAAATTAGTACTGCTCGTCGTATTGTTATTATTTGCTCAGCACATACAAGGCTTTCTCTGATGTTGATCTGAGTAATAAAACCAACCCCTACTCCAACTTTGATGTTTACATTTCATTCATTTGTTTCAGTAGATGCATAAAACCACATGGAAAACACAGCATTCACATAGATTCATACATGTCGATTCCCAGTTACCATTAATACTGGTTATTGATTTTGTGTCAAACTTCTGTTGTTGCTCATCCAGTGGGGGCATCGTTTTTTGAGCCTTACATCTGTCACTTAAAACTGGTTAGGTTATGCAGCATTGATACGGTAAAGGCTCACAGCTGTATGTTAGCATGCATTTAAGATAGATCATCTCTTGTGAAAGAAACTTGAGAACAAG